GGGTGGGGGGTGGCCGACGTGCGGGGGCCTCCGCTGCTCTTGGAGGGACGCTAGGGAGTAGGGGCCGGTCGGAGACTGAGAGGGAGGACGGTCCCCCCTCTCAGGCGCAATGGAGGCCGAGCGGGAGGGGGCGTTGAGGGTGATGGTTAATTGACTTGTTCCCGGTCCGGAGGAGGTGGGTGGGTGGCCTGGGGACCCTTCTTGCTGGGGGAGTCCCTACTTCCCTTTTGGGTGAGACTTGAGCCTCAGCTTGGCAGGACGAATGAGGGCATGGGCTAGGGCCCGAGCTGGGGGGCGGCAGAGAGGGGTTCTGTGCTCTGCACCTGAACAGGGATTTTTCTCTGCCTTGCGGGGGGCCGCCCCCTTCCCATCTCCCACTCTGGTGCCCCCTCCTCAGACTCTGTCCCGGCTCCTCCGGTCTATATTAGGGTGATTAATTACATGGCTTTTTCCCACACACACACACCCCCACTCGCCTGCTGCCCAAAGCCGGTTGACCCTTTCAGACACCTCCCCCCATCTCTGGCCCTCTTCCCGGAGGTCCCACCCTGTTCCAGCTGACGCCCTCCAGCCAGCCTTGCCCTAGCTGGGCTGCAGCCCCTCCAGTCTTCTTGGTCAGTGAAACATTTCCTCATCAACCTCAGCCCGACATTTTCCTTCACAGAGGATTTCAGCTGGGCTTGCTGGAACAGCACCTCCCCTGGGCACTGATGCTGCCGCACCCCCCCCCACACACATACACACACACACACATTGGACCGTCAAGGAGAAGAAGCTTGCACAGTGTCCTGTGCGGTCCAGTGCTCCAGGACATTCCCCAACCACAGTAGGGGACCTGCTTTTAGAACCCAGATGCCTGCTGATGAGGGGTACCTTAGAAAATCTGCCAGGCAGTGGGAGCTCTGTTCCCAGGATTTGACCATCAACACCAACCCAGTGCGTGGGCTTCCCTGTCAGAAGGCTCCTGAGCTGGAATCCTGACCAGAGAGAGTGGAATCAGAAACCTGCAGACTCTCCACTGGCCTCGGCAGCTCTGTGTTAGAGCCTCCTGGGCTGCCCGTTGAGAATGCAGACCCCTTGGCTCCACCCAGAGCTGCTCCTCTGCCACTTGAGTTCTTAATGAGTTCCAAACCAGGTTTCTAACCCAGTGCTCCAGCCCTCATCGTAATCTGCTGGGTCCCTCAGGGCTCGCATGGCACCCTACCCCATTGTCAATGTAGGGCCTTTTCTGTCCAGGCGCTGTAGCCTCAACAAAGCTACACTTACAGCTTATGTTGATTTTCAGTACAATGCGCCTTCTTGGGAAATGGGAACATAAACCTTTCCTCATTGAAGTACAACAAACACTACACAGCCCCTTCTGGTCTACCTTCTGGCTTTTTATAGAACAGAGAGAGACAGGTGCCCAGGCAAAGTGAGAGAGGAAACAGATGCCTTCTCACCCACGCACACAGAAAAAGACACACACAGACACAAATACCCAGTGAGACTCCCTCTCTTTTGGCCCTTTAGGGTTCTGCCTCCTCGAGTAGCAGCCTGCTGCCCCAGTCCAGGGTGGACCCCGATGAGAGCTCACCTGACCCAGTAGGTCGGGGAGCTCGAACCAGCAGGTCGGGAACCTCGAAGGCCAGCAGTGGCTGCAGCCCGGGCTTTTGGTTTGGCAGTGGCACTGGGACCTTGCAGTGTATGCTCAATGTCGCAGCCTGCTCTCCAGCCAAGCACTCGCTGCACAGAGGGACAGGTTCCTAGAAGGCGCACATGAGCCTATTCTGTTTACCGGACTTATTTCAATCCAACAGGTGAGACCTTAGCTGCTGGACCTGTTGCTCAGAATTGCAGAGACACAATGAGTCATCCTTGGGAGTCTCGGGGTAAGTCCCGGTATCTGCAGACCTTGCCCACTGGCCTTAAAGCTGGCTGTGGCATTGGAGACCCTCTGGGTGGAGACAAAGATGGGGGAGTATGGTTTCCATCCCAGATCATTTCTGTGTTCACATACGCCAATGCTCCTGAGCCAGCTCTACCCAGAGACAGTTCTCTTAATCGAAACGACAAAACTCGGAAAAGAAGAGATACCCTGTAGGGAGACTTGGGATCTGAGTGAGCATTGACGGGAGAGGGGGCTGAAAGCACCCATGTCAGTAGCTATAGTTTATAGTTACCTATAAAGACACCCTTCAGGACATTTTCGCTCTGGCCCAGACCTGAACAAAATAGCACAGGCCACCTGTTGGCATCTAGATAAACTCAGGTTTCAGAGCCTGAAGACGCTCTGCTACACATAACTTAGATGTCTGAGGGAGTTCAGTTGTTTTTGTCAACTTGGAAGCTTCTGGAAGCTGCCAGATGAGTAAAATCTAGGTGGCCTTGCTGCCTCTCCCCTGCCCCCTCTGCCCAGGGAATGTTGGCACCTGACTGAGGAGGTGCTTGGCTATCTGTGTGAGGTTATCACTTCCCCACTGATCTTTTTGGCTCAAAAGTCACCTTTACCAGTAGCCACATATCCTCAGGGGCCTCCTAAGGCCAAAGGTGACCAGCAGTCACCTATTTATTCATCACTTTTTTGTGACGGGGGTTGGGTTTTGCCTATGTTGACTTCAGCTCTTAATTTCTGTTCTTTCTGGTCAAAGTGAAATGATTATTTGGGGTCTCTTAATGTGTTCGATACCATGTGCTAAATTTTGTTTAAATCAGTTTGTTTAAATTTACATTGTGACTGGGCCAGTGATGGTATGGTGGTTAGGGTGGCTGGATCCTACCTGGCCAACTGTGCAGTTCAAGTTGTGGACCTGGTGCTTGGTGGAACATGCTAGGTCTGTGCATGTGTGTGTCCACTCAGAGTCTCGGGAGAAGAGGGGATCGTGATGTGGCTATATCCCCTGGGGGAGGGGTGCACTCTCATTCTCTCTCTGTTTCTGTCTCTGGCAAGCGTACATGCACTATAGCAAAATTTAAAGAACTTAAGAAAAGCACTGTACGCTGTGCCCTAAAGCACGAAGTAGCAAGGGTTTACTTGCCTCGTGAGCTGCCATTTTTTCCATTTGTCAGGCAGTGGGTTCGCACTGGCATCATGACTTTCCATGCATTCTGGCAGCAGATGTTGCTAAGCAGCTGCAGTGAACTCGACACTCAGCTAGGTCCGGTGTGGACCTGCCATCGACCTCGATGGGCCTTTGCTCTCTGGAGTTCGTGGTCTTTAGCTTCAGATCCCACTTAGAGAAGGAGAGCTTGATTTACCCATAATACTTTCACAAGCTCCCATTTTCCAGTTGCACATGGGAGCGCACCTTACAAGCTTCGAGGTGTGGTTTCCCACCACGAATGAAAGTGCCTCACGTTCAAGGTCAGCATTACCCTCTGTGTCCATTAGGTGCCTTCGATGGTTTTCACTTTCGACCTGGAATTACTTTGATCTTGATCCCCAAGATCCACTTTTGGAAGGCAGTGGACACTGCCTGTGTCATTTTTGCCTCCGCATCAGCTTCTCTTCCAGAAGGATTCCACCATTTTAGAGTAGAACAGTTGCGCCACCTGTTTTCCAGGGCTGGAGATTCATGTATATTATCTTCTTTTTAATGATCTTCCTTCTTTTCTCCTGAAGCATTTTTACCTGATATACTTGGCCAATTATGTTAATTTAGCTTCCTTTCATTAAAGCAGAGCCTGGTCTCTTCCTCCCACTTCTATGAGCACCTTGTGCGTGATCTCACTGTGCCCTCAGTCTCTGTCACTGTGGGCGGTGATTACATAGCCACTGAGGGCTGCTGCACTCTCAGGCTAAGTCCCCTGGGTAAGCTAGGACAAGGGCCACTTGATGACTACACAGGAAAAGATAATTAACTATTCATTTGGGGGTTGTAGCTCTGGGATTTCTACAGTTAATCATGCCTATTTAGTAAAAACACTTTGGTGGGATTTGCTCAAGTAAATGAAATACTTCAGGAGGATTTGCTCGATTAAATGTGGCCATCTGGGAAGAACTCGGAGAGAGAGATTGAGGGAGAGGGGACGATGTGCTTATGTACAGTGCAGAGGTCAGCAATGGCATGGTGATGGGATGGGGTAAAGGTGACCTCCAAGCACCCACATATACCACCAGGCTTACATGATGCTCACTTCAGCCGCCTTCCAGACACAGCCGGGCAGAACAGCGTTGCAGGCCCTTTCTCTCTTCTCTGGTATAGTCGGAAAAGTCTCAGAGCTCGGGTGCTAGACCTTGAGCAAGATGCTCAACATTTTAGATGTACGGTTTCCTTCTCTGTAAGATGGCTACTATGATCCATTTAAATCATGCGAGGGGAGACACACCGCCCAACCATGTAGTGAGTGTCTGTGGATGGGATTTGCCCCCCCCCAACACATATTGATTCAGTCACCTCACATCATGTGCCCATTCGATGCCAGGAACTGCTGCAGACACCAGGGACTTGGGTGTGAGCGTAAAGAGAAAGTCAGGTAAGAACAAGCAGTTTCATAGGATAGCTTTTTGTTTGTTTGTTTTTAAGATTTTTTGCTATAGGGCCTATGTGCTTGTCAGAGAGAGACAGGGAAAAGGAAAGTGAGAAATAACCTCCCCCCCTCCTATGCAGGGGGATGGCCATGCTGTAATCCCTTCTTCTCTATTCTCCTGGGATTTGGGGCATACATGCACACATATCCATCATGGTTTTCAAGCCACCAGGTCCAGGACTTGAACCATGGTCAGCCATGTGGGAGTCCAGCAGCTTAACCACTGTGTCACCTGCTAGCCCCCAGAGGATAGTTTTTAATTGGCAAAAGTGTTTCATGGAGACCGTGATGGGGCTGGAGAGTGAAGACACCTGGAAGAGGTAACACTGCAGTCAAGACCTAAATTCTTAAAAGGAGCCGCCTATGATGTGCTGGTTGATGGTATCCTCAGCAGGCTCAGAGGCCTTGGAGGCCATGCTGGGACTGCCTGGGACTGAACAAAGGCCATTGTGTCTATATTGATGAGGTGTGGGGGCAGGACATGGGAGCAGGGGGCTGCCCAGTGATTTGTAGGGGGCTGCAAATGTCTTCGGTCTCTGGCCTGATAGCTGCGAGAAGAGGTCTCAGACAGGTCATCTTTCTCAGAAGGTTTGGATATGATGTCCCTTTCCATGCCACTCAGCCGCAGTGTCAAGTGGAAGTGAATTTTTAAAATGGAGTAGTATAAGGAATTCATTTTGTGGCCAGTTCATTTTGTGCTTGAAGCCATAGTCAAAGCAGACCTTGAAAGTACGTGGGAAGCATCCACTGAGCAGAGAGGCCCCGCCTAGGTGAAGCTAGGACACAGAGAATGTGGCTCCTGAGTACCTAGGGATTGACTCACCCAGGGGACGTCCTGTGCCAGGCAGCCAGCCAAAGCGGTAAGTGGGCTGCTGGGGACTTTGGGGTTAAACGAGGCCTTCCGCCTATACCCATCCGCAGCACTGATAGCTGGGGGGGCAGATCCCAAGAAGTCCAGCCCCATGGTTCTGTCCCTAGGCTTTCTGTCCTTGCCCTTGGGGAACTGCCCACAGGTCCCAGCCGGCCTACTCCCCTGTGCCCTATGGGCGTCTCAGGGTATGGATCATCTGCGCCAACCCCAGGGGCTGCTCCCACGGCTTCCTTGGCCTCAGCCCTTGTCCCTCTGAGTGCTGAATGTCTTTCTTATCCAGACTTCAGTACCATCTTTTTAAATTGTTGCTCTCTTGCGATAATAATGAAGTTCAGCTTGGTGACAAAAAATCTGCACACTACGGAAGCAGAAAGCAGACCTTCCTAGACCTTGCCCCCACCCTGCATGGTCTCACGCTGAAGTGCAACTGTGCTTGTCCCAGCTACAAGTCACTTTCTGCTCTGTCTCCTAAAGTGCAGATATGTACTGCACCATCTTCTCCCTTCCCTTCTTTTTTTTTTTTTTGGAGAGATTTTCACTGTAGGGCGCGTGCACTCGCCCGACAGACAGAGAGAGACATAGAGACAGAAAGCGAGAAATCACCCCCCAGGGGGGATGGTCACGCCGCAATCCCTTCTCCTCCATTCTCCTCTCGGGATCTTGGGCACGCACGCACACGTGCCCGGCGTGAGTTTTAAGCCACCGGGTCTGGGACACGAACCGCGGTCGACTACGTGGGAATCCAGCGACATAGCCATTACGCCAACTGCTGGTTCCCTCCCTTCCCTTCTGTCTTTGGGTTTTCGATCAGGAGTTATCCTGCCTACCAGTTTCTTCTATGAAGGATTAACAGGAGTGTTTTAAGTTTATTTGTTTTACTCATGAGAGGGTGTGCACACGTGCACACAGGAGTGAAAGTGAATGAGAGATAATCACCCTCAGCAAGGTCTCTCAGCATGCTGTGACTCCCTGTCTTCAGTTCCTCAGGATCTTGGGCACCCACACACACACCAATAGGCCGACCTGGAGATCAAGGCCCTGTCAGTCACGTGGAGTGTCAGCACTGCAGTTCATTTTGCTGGGCCTGATTCCCAATCTGTAATCCACTGCACGACATCCTATGTTGGCCACCTGTTGAGTCTGCATTTGAACTTACCGGGTTTCCTCCTGCTCAGAGTTCTAGGACTCTTCAGTGGTAGTTCTAGAGCTCTGAACCACAGTTGCTATTCACCCTCTCCCCTTGTTTTTCTGACATTGGGGCTATCTCCCTGCCAACTGTAGTATATTGTTTTCCATCCTTGTACTTTTTTAAAAATTATTTGTTTTATTCATTGGTTCATTTATTTTTTTAATTTGACCAGAGAAGACAGAGAGAGAGAGAGAGAGAAAGAAAGAAAGCTGCCAGGTCCAGGACTCGAACCGCAGTCAGCCATGTGAGAGTGTCCAGTGCCTTAACTACCACATCACCTGCTGGTCCCCATCCTGTACTTTTAACCAACCTGTATCTTTACACTTTCTAGTACATAGCATATAGTTGTGTCTTGTTTTTTTGTTTTGTTTTGTTTTGTTTTTTTAATACATCCTGAAAAGCTACGACTTTTTTTTTTTTGGAGAGATTTTCACTGTAGGGCGCGTGCGCTCGCCAGACAGACAGAGAGAGACATAGAGACAGAAAGCGAGAAATCACCCCCCGGGGGGGATGGTCACGCTGCAATCCCTTCTCCTCCATTCTCCTCTCGGGATCTTGGGCACGCACGCACACGCGCCCGGCGTGAGTTTTAAGCCACCGGGTCCAGGACACGAACCACGGTCGACTATGTGGGAGTCCAGCGACATAGCCATTATGCTAACTGCTGGTTCCCCAAGCTACGACTTTTGATTAGATTGTTTAGTTCATTTAACTTAATCATCTATGTGACTGGGCTTATGTTTGTCATCTTGCTATTTCTTCCTATTTGTTCTACCTGTTGTTTTTGCCTTTTTTTTAAAACAAACAAACAAACAAAACCTTTGTCGTTTTGAATTATTTTTTGGCTTATTAACTTGCATCACAGAGGGCCAGCAGATGGCGCAGAGGTCAAGGTGGCTGGGTCCCACATGGCTGACTGCGCAGTTTGTGTCCCAGACTCAGTGGTTTAATAAACTTGCTGGGCATGTGTGTGTGCATGCCCAAAATCCTGATAAGAGGTGGGATTGGAGGAGAAAAGATTGTAACTGTGGCATGGCCATCCCCCATGGGATGCTTTCTCGCTCTCTCTCTCTCTCTGCCTCTCTGCAGTGAATGCATGCACCCTGTAGCAAACAAAAAGAAAACAACAACAAAAAAAAACATGCATCAGAGACTTGAAGGGCCTACCAAAGCACAGGGGGTGGGGAGCAGCAGGCAGCTTAGTGGTTAAGATACTAGACTCCCACATGGCCAACCATGGTTTCAGTCCTGGACCCGGTGTCCTGAAACTCATACTGTGCACTACTGTGTGCATGCCCAAACTCCTGAGAAGAGAATGGAGGAGATGGGATTGTGACGTGGCCATCCTCCGGGGGGTGGGGGTGGGGGGTAATTTCTCCCCTTCATTCTCTCTCTGTCTCTCCAGCAAGTACACACATCCTACAGCAAAAATCTGTCTAAAAAACATGAGGGGAGTAAAGGTGTTTTATACCTTAGATTTTTTATTCCTGCTAGTCTTCTTGCCTTCGTGTAGATCCAAGTCTTTAATTTCATTTGCCTTCCACCTGAAAAATCTCCTGCACCATCTCTCTCTTTTTTTGTTGTAATGAAATTCTTGTTGATTGTCAGAGGGCATGTGTGCTCATTAAAGACAGAGAGGGAGAAAATGCCACCCCCATTTGGGGCATGGTCATTCCACAATCCCTCCACCGTCAGAGTCTTGAGCATACACGTGTGCCTGACATGTTTTTCAAGCCACAGGGGCCAGGATTTGAACGTATTGGGTCATGCAGGATCCAGCTCCCTATGCACTACAGGGCCAGCCCCCCTTTAGTATTTCTTCTAGTGCAGATCTGATGGTGACAGATTCTTTCAGCTTTTGTCTGATAAAGTTTTATTTTGCCTTTATTTATCTATCTATCTATCTATCTATCTATCTATTTATTTATTTATTTTGGAGGGTTTTTGCTATAGGGCATGTGCGCTTGCCAGAAAGACAGAGAAACAGAGAGAAAGTGAAAAAATAACCCCCCGGGAGGATGGCCATGCCACAATCCCTTCTCCTCTTGGGATCTTGGGCATGCACGCACACGTGCCCGGTGTGAGTTTAATCCACCGGTCCCAGGACTTGAACTGCAGTCGACTACATGGGAGTCCAGCAACATAGCCATTGTGCCCACTGCTGGTCCCATATTTTGCCTTTATGTTTGAAGAGTATTTTTCTGATAGAATTCTAGGTTGACAGTGTTTTGTTTTGCTTTTGCTTTTAGCACTTTAAAAATGTCAGTCGGTTGTTTTCTGGCTTTCCTGTTTTCTGATAAGGAGTCAGCAACTATTCTTATCTTTGCTCCTGTGTGCACAGCATCATTCCTCTCCTCTGGCTACTTTAAGCTTTTCTCCTTATCAAGGTTTTCAGCAATTTGACTCTGGCACAGCTTTCTATGCCTTGCTATGGGTTTATTGGGCTACTCGGATCTGTGAGTTGATGGTTTTCTCCAAATCTGGAGACATTTACAGCCATTGTTTCTTCAACTATATTTCTTGTCACTGAGAAACTATAAAAGCTGTTTTTCTCTCTGGTTCATTTACAAGATTCCATTGTTGTGTCTTGAAATTCACTCAGTTTTTGGTTATATTTTGCAGTTTCTGAATTGTTGTTGCTCTCCTATCTGCTGGTGCTTTACACATCACAGCTCTCACCTCTAGAAGTTCCACTTGTCCTTATTCTATCTTCTATTCCTCTTACTATGCTCTTGTTTTCTTTCAGTACTTATACATAGTTTAAGTGGCTGTTGTCCCCATCTGTAAGTTCTATCAGTCATTTCTGCGTGTCTCTCTTGACTGGTTGTCCTGCTTGCCTAGGTCACATTCTTGTGCTTGCTGGCATTTCAGTAGTATTTGACTGGCTGTTGAACACTGTCAAGGTTATGTTGTTGAGGGTCCAAAGTCTGGCAGGTTGTTATTTGTGGATCAGTTCTGTCCCTTGAGTCCTATTTGTAAACATTTTGAGAATGGATCTCATGTGGCTTTGGCTCTGGGGACAGGTCAGCCCTACTGCTAAGGCAAGACCCCTTCTGGATTCCCTGCTAAGGGTCGCAAGTGATCCCAGAGGGCTCTCTATGCTGGTCAGACTGTGATCAGCTCCCTACTTTCATGTGTCCTGGAGTCATTTGGCTCCCGGTGTCTTACCAATCATCTCTCCTCGGCCTTTTGGAGTTCCACTCTATGTGTGCGTGGCTGAGTGGTCAGCAGGGACTCAGCGGAGCCTTGTCCAGGTTCACTGAAGTGCTCTCTCCTCTATTGCTCCCTGCTTTGGGGAACCCTGCAGTGCAACTTGCAGCTGCCTCAGCACCCTAAGTGCTGCTCTGTGTCCCCTCAACTTGTGAAGCCACTAAACCCTGTGTGATTTCCCCTCCCCTATATGCTCTCTAGCGAGGTTGTCCCAGGTGGAGAGCCGGGGTGATGGCAGGGCTCACCTCATTTCGGCCCCTTTTCTCAAGCATTGTGATCCCACGTGTTTGCTGTTCATTGTCTAAAAACTCTTCTTTATGTCTTTTCTTGGGTTTTCTGTTTCTTTATAGCAGGATTTGAAATCCTTGTTACTCTGTTGTGGCTGTAAGTGGACGTTTTCACTGCCCTTTTCAACAGAACATCTTGAATTTTATGCTAAAGTCTCTAAATATCTGGGTTTGTAGTCCTGGATCTGGTGCAAGATGCTTCCTTTTCATTCACTTATGAGTGGGGTACAATCAAACTGGTGTCCCAACAGGAACAGTGTAGCCGTTCCTCTGAGCTCACGAGAATGGGAGGCCCACACACAGCCACGAGGAGTAGGTTCTTAGATCATTTCCCGTATCTTGCAGTTTGGAAGAAAAAGGTAACTTGTGCATATTATTCAGCTCTTCTGTTTAAGCCACTAGGTGTCTAAAGACCTGTCCCTTGAGGCTCATCTTCCCAGCCACTTTGTTCACCTTTCCATCGTGTGTGCCCCCGCCCTGCCCTTACCTGGCCACTGTTCCAGGGCGGTGTTTTTCTGTTGCCTCTCTTCCCTGCAGCAGCTGGAGCCAGGTTTTAGTGCCTCTCCACCATTGGGAGGGATCTCTCATGTCCTAGCTGTTTTTTTCTGATAGTCCCTTTGGGGTGCTTCATTCTTGTGTAGCCCAAGCCTTGACCCTCTGAGACTGGCTGTACAAAGGCCTACAGGCAGCCGGTGTGTGAGAGTCAGCCACCCACCATTGGCTCTCAGTCTCGTATCTGTCTTCTGGTTATGCCTGGCCTGACCTGTGTTTGTCTTGCCTTGGCTCTCACTGGCCCACCTTCGCTAACTCTGCCAGTCCCTTTTCCTCACTGTTTGGAGTGTGTGTTCTCAGGCATCCCATCCCTAGGCTCTGGCTTGTCACTGAGCCAGAATGGAGCCAAGGCTTCAAGCTGCAGAAAAGGAAATATCCAGGATTATCTCAGGAGACCCAAAGACAACACTCTTGTCCTCACTCATGTTTTTTTTTTTTTATCACTATCCTTAGCTCCACCTGTTCCCCAAGGTCTTGTCCTTCCCCAGGACAGAGCCCCAGAAAACCAGGTTTTGGCAGGCGCTCCTGAGACGCCAGAGGGCCAGGTGAGCCACACTGCCTGCTGCCCTGCTTGGAACTCTGCCACTGCCCCTTGAGTTGAGCCTCAGCCTCTGGCTCAGCGTGATACACACGATGAGGCACGACCCTAGCTGCTGCCCTCCGCTTGTCTCTGGAGTCCGCCAAAGGACAGGTACCTGCTGGACTTACCATGCCTGTCAGACAGGCAGGGGATCTGAGCCACCATCTGGGAAAGGGACTGAACTGAGGTCCCCTGGCCTGTGCTCTGCTTCTCCCTCCAGGACGTCTCAGGCCTGTGGTTAGATCGCCGCATTAACACACACCCACTCTGGCCCTCACTCTTGCCCCTGGCATTACTGGTGCTGCCTTGACCTCATTCTGGAACAGGCAGAGAGACCGATCATCCCTGGGAATTCTTTCAGGTTGTGCCATCTGAAGATGTGGCGTGCTGCCTCACCAAAAGGGAGCAGTTGAGACAAGAGCCTGCCTCTATCGGTAAGGATGCCCCAGCCCTTCCCCAGATGTGCTATCTTCTCTCCCACAGCCTGGGCTGAGGAGACGCACAAAGTGCCTGCCACACTAGGTAGCTTGTTTAGAGTAGCATGGGCTCCCTCAACTCCTTGTGGTATAAAAGACCTCCTCAGTCTTTTATCGGGAGGGAAACAGGAACACACTTGCCACTGTAATTTGGAGTACTTTTTTGTATGCACGGATCTTACACATGTCATGGCCACTTGACTCAAGTGTGATGTCAGAGAGAGTTACCCATCAGGGGTCTATGTGGAAGGGTAGGTGAAGAGATGCGGGCAGTAGAGGAAGTCCCAGACCTGGAACAAGCATGCCACTCAGCATGTGGGCACAGAGAAAGAGGTGAGGCAGGCACAGGTCCTGGAGACACCACCTGGAACCCCCCACATACACTGGGCCCGGGACCTGCTCTCCCCCAGCTCCTGAAAGGAGCCAGTCCTTGGGAAATGCATGTGAGCTGAGTGAACAACTTGCCCAGGTCACAGTCAGCCTGGTCTTGGGGACCAAAATGGGTTCCCCTTCAAAGGTCTCACCTGGGCTTCCACCTTGCTGCCATCATCCCTGGCTGCTGCCATAACCCATCTTTTTTTCCATAAGTGCAGGAGTTCCTGTTTCAAGCCTTGCCATGATCTCTCGCCTAGCACAGGGCCAAGCACTGCTGACACCAGACCCATCCCTCAAGACAGACCCAGCTAAGCCCTCTGGTGAGTGAAAAAGGAACTTGGACCATGTGAGGTGCCTGGGGGGTGTCCAGCAGAGCTGTGGCAGGGCCCAGGTTAGGGTTGGGAGCCCAACTGGGCCTTTAGGGGTATGGCTGCTATCCCATCACAGAGAGGACCCCCCCCCAGGCCCACTTTGCTAGGGCTATTCAGCCTCAGGGCCCTGGGTCCCTGCCCTCTTGTGGCCCCAGCCCAGTGCACAGCAGAAATGTCAGGAGCACAAGGACTCTCTTGACAAGGGAGAGCACCTCCCTCTGCTCTCCTCTGGAGGCTGCAGCCTGTCCTGTTTGTCGTTTCAGAAAGCACCCCTGTGACCCAGCACGTGATGGGGGAAGACGCCCAGCCACAGGAGATGATGTCCAAGAGCTCCCCAAGGATGGGGGACCCTCGCCCTCAGGTCAAGCAGAATGGGGACTCAAAGGGGAGGGGAGGGAGCCCACAGGATCTGCCCATAGAGCATCACTTCGCATGTAAAGTATGTGGGGACACCTTCCGGCTTAAGGTCCTCTTGGTGCAGCACCAGAGGGTCCACAACCAGGAGAAGGGCTGGAGATGCAGCGACTGCGGAGAGGTCTTCAGGAGGGTGGCAGAGTTCAATGAGCACCGGAAGAGCCACATGGCAGCCGAGCCCCTGCCCGGCCCTAGCCGAACCCCAGAAGATGCGGCAGTGCCTCCTTTGAAGAGGGAGCAGACGGAGCGGGAGGCGAAGCCGTTCGAGTGCAAGGAGTGCGGGAAGAGGTTCAAGAAGAACGCGGGGCTCAGCCAGCACCTGCGTGTGCACAGCCGGGAGAAGCCCTTCGCCTGCGCGGAATGCGGGCGCGCCTTCAAGGTAGGCAGCCACCTCTTCCGGCACCAGAAGCTGCATGCCCCAGAGAAGCCCTTGGCCTGCAAGCCCTGTGGCAGGGACTTCCTAGACCGCCAGGAGCTGTTTAAGCACCAGCGTGTGCACACAGGCCACCTGCCCTTCGACTGCGATGACTGCGGCAAGTCATTCCGCGGTGTTAGCGGCCTGGCGGAGCACCAGCGCATCCACAGCGGCACCAAGCCATTCGGGTGCGTGCACTGCGGCAAGCTCTTCCGCCGAAGCTCTGAGCTCACCAAGCACCGGCGCATCCATACTGGCGAGAAGCCCTATGCGTGCGGCCAATGTGGCAAGGCCTTCCGCCAGAGCTCCAGCCTGCTGGAGCACGCACGCATCCACAGTGGTGAGCGGCCCTATGCGTGCGGGGACTGCGCCAGGGCCTTCCGTGGGCCCTCCGACCTCATCAAGCACCGGCATATCCACAGTGGTCTGAAGCCCTACGAGTGTGACAAATGTGGCAAGTCCTTCCACCGCAGCTCGGGTCTGAGCCGCCACCGGCGCACCCACAGCGGGGCACGGTGCTGTGAATGCAGCCAGTGCGGCCGCATGTTCAAGAGGCGCTCGGGGCTCCAGAAGCACCAGCCTGCCCACCTCGAGTAGGGAGCCTGCGGCAGGAGACCATGGGCTTGGTAGCATCAGTTGTGCGCAAGGTGACACCCATTTCTACTGCCACCAGCAATTTCTAAGTGGACCTGTTTCTCTTTGCCCATCGAAAGCAGCTTTTCCCTCCCGTCTTCACCGAGTTGTAGTTTCACTAGCAGAAAGTTGCCTCAAGGTCCCTAAGCCCGCACACCTTGAATCAGAGAATGAGGAAAGAGCTGGTGAGGCCGGGAGGGGGCCTGGAGGGCCGCTGCTGGGAGCCCCTGCCTCATGGAAGCCAGCACACAGCTGCACTGTGCCCCCCTGACTTCCCAAGGCAGGATGGCCCCAGAGATTTTTGGCCTACTTGAATTTATAAAATTTTAGAGTTGTAAATAGAATGCTCAAATGTATTATAATATTTATTAATTTATTTATGCATACCTATTATAAATCACATATAGAATAATATATTTGTTCGGGAAGTGCCCCTTTTCACTATTCTCTTTCACGACATCATCTTACTCCAACTCCTGACTGTGTTTTGACCTCACTGTCTTCAGTACCATACCTTGGACTCATCACAGACTTTTCCTGTGCACCTGAGCTGTCACTCGTTCACACTGTGACAATCCCACCTTGAGGTTCTCGTGAGAAATTTCCTCCCAAGCCATAAAAGGATATTCACACAACACTAGGACACTTCTTCTTTGGTCTCTTGATTTTTCTTTGTTTTTTGTTTGTTAATTTATCCCATAAATCTACAACCTAACCACTTAAGGTGGTGCTTTTCTAAATGAAATGCACCATGGCTCTCTTCATGGCTCTTTTAAAGCATCTAAAACGTGTCACAGTGAGGTTGTATTCCCAGTACTAGTTATCAAATCTGGGCTACGTGTCTTTTGCATCCTTTTTTCTTAAACCAATCCAGCCTGGGGACCCTGTACATACTCAAAACTAGCATTGATTAGGGTCGTTTCAGGAAAATGGATCTTGTCCTCAAACAGCACTGTTTTGTTCGAAATAAAGTCGTCGAGAGAGCACCGCCTAGTGAGAGAAACATCTCAAGGACTCAAGGGAGGTGATGCCCCCCTGCCTGGGAACAGGAGCTTCTCCTCACACGAGGCCTACATGGTACTTCGCCAGCCCTCCGTTTCTGGTTCTCCAAGTCAGGGGCAATGGCAGTACCTACCTCTGAGGGCTGTCAGGAGGACCGCCAGTGTGCCTGCAGAGTGCTGGGCATGCTGGCCAGGCACGGAGGCCCGCTCTCGGTGAAGGTCACCTGCTGTTGGCATCTGTGACCCGTTAGTGCAGAACTGGGCACAAACCCTAGGCCTTCTGACCACCAGTCTCATCCTCTCGTACGCTGTGACTCAACTCTTTCCATTTTCTTGCATGCAAACTGGACACTCATCTCCCTTGACTAGTTATCAAGTTACCTTTGGATATATTGACTTTATAAACAGCTGTTCTTTCTATATTGATTGTGAGAGTCTCTTTTCCAATTTTATTCTTTGCTCTTTGTAACGGTCACCTACCTCTGAGGGCTGTCAGGAGGACCGCCAGTGTGCCTGCAGAGTGCTGGGCATGCTGGCCAGGCACGGAGGCCCGCTCTCGGTGAAGGTCACCTGCTGTTGGCATCTGTGACCCGTTAGTGCAGAACTGGGCACAAACCCTAGGCCTTCTGACCACCAGTCTCATCCTCTCGTACGCTGTGACTCAACTCTTTCCATTTTCTTGCATGCAAACTGGACACTCATCTCCCTTGACTAGTTATCAAGTTACCTTTGGATATATTGACTTTATAAACAGCTGTTCTTTCTATATTGATTGTGAGAGTCTCTTTTCCAATTTTATTCTTTGCTCTTTGTAACGGTCAATTACGTTTTTGTTGTATAAGCTTTTAATTTTTACATATCTGAGAATTAGTTTTTGTCTGATAGGTCCTTTCATTGTTTCAATAGTTCAATGAGATGGCATTTTCTTCTAGAATTTCGATTACTAACACAAAGTTGAAACTCCTGCCCACCCTAAAGTGAACAGATCCAGTGGGCAGGCTGGATGGGAACAGGCCAGAGAAGCAAGCTCGTTCCTCGTCCAAGATGCAGACCCCGTATCAGTCGTGGGCAACACTTGACCTTCCAGCTTGGCCACTCAGCATACTCGTGATATTTCCATCACAGGTTGACCAGGCTGCTCTGTGACTGTCCACCAGTATAGCCCCAGCTGCCAGCAGCAGGGCTAGGCCTCACCTGGACCAATAGCGTGGTCCAATCTTGATCTGGCAACAGCCTGGCCATCCTCAGAGCTCCCAGGAGCCTGGGCAATGTTTGGCATAGATTCAGTGACTGAGCAGCAGATTCAACCAAGAGACCTCTCCTCAGACACAAGAAGACTCACTCAACTGGCGTTGTCACATGACATGTGACCTGCATCCTCCTCCCAGCAAGGGACTCTGGAAACTGGAAAGAGTTGGGTTGGTGGCTTCAGGCAACTAGCTGGACATTCATCCACATGTTCTGGCATCACTTCATGCAGCCACACCTACAGGGGCAGCAGCACAGAGGCTGGGAGAGGAGCCATGCCCCTATAATGGCCTGTCCATCATGCTGACGGAAGCTGGTCATGCCAGACCCGAGCTGTGACCTGCAGCACCTTGCCCACGAGAGGCAACAGCTGGGGTTGTGTTTCCCTTTCAACGGCCTCAGTGGCACAGAAACCTCAGCTGGTCATCCTGGGGCTGGCAAGGAGCCTGGCTGGAAACACCTGGCCCTGCTGGGGCTGGGGCTTGACTTCCCAACAGCTGGGCCTTGCAGTTGATGGGCACCAGAGGGCCTGCAGGGGTAGGTGCCCCTCTGATGGGCCCACCAAGGCTGAAGCAGAGCATCCCAATAGGCTCAGCTTAGAATGTCTTTTTGGGCCCCCATCCCTGGATGCAAGGTCCAACGATGACCTTGGCCAGAAGATCCTCTTGAATGGCCTCCAGGCCAGCACAGTGACCCTTTGTGACATCACCCTGGCCCTCAGGCACCTGTTACAGAGC